TTTTTTTAGAATTTTTCTCGGAAACCATATTCCGTAGAATGCTGTCAACACAAATCTTGCTCAAAAAAAGCAGATCATAGAACTAATTTTAGCAAACGCTCGATTTCCAATGCAAGTTTCAGATTCTTGGCGACACTATCGAGAAAAATGGAAGCTTGAATAACTTCAATCCTGTCTCTACGATATGTCTTTGATTATGTCCTCAATTACTGTATAGAGAGAATGATCTCCTCTCAAATAAAATTATACCCATGCAAATCACTTTAAAAAGCAGGAACTATTGAATTTGTGTGAATGCGACGAACTTTTAAATCAACTAAATCATATCAAATTCAATTTATGCTTGAAGATCTAATATATTCAGTACTCTTTCTTTCTTTCGTTTCCCTTTAGGGTTTTCCACAATGAGTCCCACTTCATAACCTGAAATTTAAACATAAGAATACGAACCCATCGGAAGGGGAGGTGACGCTCGTCCATCCGCTTCGTCGGTTTCCGCCTGATCGACAGACTTACTTGATGAGATGGTGAATGGCAGTGGCAATCGTGACACGTCCTTGCCGGCTGCCTATAAGGCATGCATACTTTCGCATTTGAATACAGATTAAACTAAAATGAAATAACACACCTTGAGACAATCGGCTACGTCGGTTCTATCGAACAGCATGCCATCACTTTCTGCAAGTGAACCCAGATCCACTCTTTCCGATTCTTCAACATTTTCACCGACCAGCTGAACCTGGTCCTCGTGCAAGAGAAGGTTCATGCCAGGCGGACCACGCTGAGCTCGACATGCAACAACCTGAAATTATGAAAACTCGAAGTAGTAAAGTGTGATCATAACCACTCCAACCAAATGTATAATATAAGGAAATTGGTTTGAAAGAGGCCAACGGAAAAACGAGGAGGAACCAAAAGTCAGAAAAAAACGCACAAAACGGCGCAAAGAGTTATGACTCAACAATTCGAAGTTTTCTCAAAAAGCAGCAGGTCCAACCAAATTTGAGAAAAACTCACCTGCTGCACATGCTGACAGAGTGAAGGATTCGCCATCAGTTGAGCTGCCAGATTCATGTACTTCGCCACTAGATTATGTAGGGCTATCCTTTTATCCGCAGTAAATGGATGCAACGGGTCAAGTGCTAACAGTTGTAGTGCAAATGCTAGCCGGAAAAGTTCGATAAGGGTCTGAAAAAAGAAGAATCAATTGAAGCAGAGTTCGCGTGAGGAAAAGAAAGAAAAGCAGAGGCAAGATAAGATATCGAACAGAGCGCTATCTGCATCTACTTCAAAAAAGTTTGCATTTTCAGTGTTCATGCTAGACTAGCTTCAAGCGAACTGTGTTTCCCGACTTTTCAGCTAAGGACTTCAAACTAGATTTTCTAGTGAGGACACTCGACGATGTAGCAAAAACTATCATCATTTTTTGGAAAACCTTATTCCAAATCCCCAAGGTGATGATAAAGTTGAAATTACTGCTCATGTACATTGAACACATACCTCATCAAAGCCTACTTCTATGCACAGCAGACTCATTGTGCACTGGATAGCATCCATGTGTTGCTGCATATAAGAATCATCTACTACGAGAATTACAGCTCTAAAATTCTGATTTATGATGTTTGTAGGCTAAAAATAGTTAACTAACCGATAAAGCATATGCGTCATATCGTGGATATGTTTCCTCATAAACATTTGATCAGCTCTAGAGCATTTCTCGACAGTCAGTTGTACATCGGATACGTCAAGAACATAGGGCAGATGGGCCAAATGTGACAAATTGTCGTGTCTAAAGAGTGACTAAAACCTAACTAACCAATAGCTAGAAGTCAAGCCAAAAATACCTGTCTAGCAAAGTGTGAAATATTTGCTGAGTTCCAAGTCGTACTTGAGGATCCTTGACAAGAGCTAGTTGTATGAGTGTGTGCAGAAATGAGTCGGTGAATACAGTAGCCAGGTAAGCAGTTCGATATTTTGTCGCTACCTAAAACACGAATGAAAAAATAACTGCATTTATTCTGTTCTGAAAATCAACGTTGAGACAGAGTCTAGAAATGAGAAAGCAACGTTTCGATACTATCCGCTCAAAGCTATACAGCATCACATATTCGAGCTTATTTTATCCAAACTTGGTTGTCATAAAAGACATCAATCTAAAAGGTTCATGGACAATTCTTGCCCCAAAAAAAAGAAGAAAATTACTTTGGAATTGCCTAAACGAACTAATCAACTCAAACAGTACACTGCTCATTGTTATGTATACCAAAGCAGTATTTTGTAGTATATTTTTGAAAATCAATAGGAAACAAAATTAACATGTTCAGTGTGAAAATGGAAATTCATAACTATTCCTAGAGACATTCCATCACCACTAACTTCACCTGGTCAAAAAGAGTAGGTCATAAAACCAAGACCGAACTGAATTACAGTAGACGTTCTGGCAAATCAAAAAATCACTTTTGAGTATCTTACAACTTATCCGTTGCCATATGTCCTCAAAATTTTAAGTCAAGCTAGTTCTGAAAGCGGATGATTTAATCTCTCTATCACCTAGCAAATCAGAAAGTTGCACTGATGCAGGAGAAAGTAACAGAATTTTTAAAACTTTTGCTACAAGAATTATGCATCAACCCGATAATTTCGTGAAATGCGACTATCTTTGATTAATCATTCACATGAAGTTCTAGTCTGGCGAACCTGAAAATTCTTACCTTCAACAATGTTTTAACCAGCACGTGCTGCAAGAATTCGTCTCCTTGTTTCACGCGCTTTTCGTCCAAATTGGGGATGTTGCCGACGGTGAACATCATCATTTCCACCTACAAAAAAGTCATAATAGCTAAAACGTTGAAGTTATCAGCTTTACTAACGGCCAACTCTGAGAAAATGACAACCCTTACTTTTTGGTAATCCGGTAGCGCATTCGCAAAATCGCCCATGGCATTGATCAGGGCTTCCTGATACATCTTTTCCGCTTCCGAATCTTTGCACTTTTCTGATCGCTCGAAGTCAACAGATGTCCTCAAGTGCTTCAGCAAAGAATTGAAAATCGACAGCAGCAGCGGACCTGTAAACTAGGGATATGCATTTGATAGGCCTTGTTGAAACGCGAGTGCTGAGCGTAGCATTGGACTATTTCAAAAAATATGTGATTTCCCATGCATTCCTCATTTACGTCTGGCAGCAGATATTATATTTGTTCAGCAGAAAGTCTCACCTATACTTGTTCCAGCAATTGATACTATATTTGACAGCACTGTTGCTATTCCAATTCTGATCACAGCATCGGCACTGCTCATCGAATCCAGATGATTAATCAGTTCCTATAATTCAGTGAAACCTTCCCCTAAGCACTTTATCGAAACTGTTCCACACTTCTTCTTTGTACACATCATGTGTAAACTGATCAAACAAAACCGTTTGTTCGAAAACAATGGGTTGAACCGAAAGTTCTGTCGTACCATTTTCAAAAAATC